CACACATATAATAATAAGTAAGAAAAAATACAAGGAAAAGGAGAAAAAAGAGAAAAAAAAGGGGAAAAAAAGAAAGAGAGAGAGAGAGAGAGAGAGAGAGAAGAGAGAAGAGAGAGAGAGAGAGAGAGAGAGAGAGAGAGAGAGAGAGAGAGAGAGAGAGAGAGAGAGAGAGAGAGAGAGAGAGAGAATGAAAGGAAGAGAGATAGAGAGATAGAGAGATAAAAGAAAGAGAGAGAAAACATATCTCAATAAAGATTTGTACACTAGTATGTATGTGTTATATATATGTATGTGTGTGTATATATATTATATATATATATATATATATATTATATATATATATATATATATATATATATATATATATATATATATATATATATATATTGCTTCCACCTCATGGCAAGCCGCCAGGCAGGGACTCAGCCCATCTCGAGCTCCTCCCGACAGGTTTGATCAATCTGCCCTAGCCACGACTTCCTAGGTCATCCCACAGGCCTTCTCCACCCAGGGTTGTCTCTTACAGAGACAACCTGATGAGCAGGATCAGCCTGTGGAAAGCGAGCCGAGGTAGCCATATAGCCTGAGTTGGTGATCCCGAATTGTGTAGATAACAGGTCCTGTGCCAGTCTCACGGTGCAACCGTTGGTTAGACACGTGGTCCCGCCAACAATATCCCATGATCCGGCGCAAGGACCTATTACAAAAGGCATCAAGACGAGGCTCCAGGGCACTGGATAATGTCCAGGTTTCACTACCATAGAGCAAAACTGGCATTATCAGGGCCCTGAAAACCTATAGCTTGGTCCTTCTGCACAGGTACCAGCATCTCCAAATACTCTTGTCGAGAGAGTTCATGATCCCTGCTGCCAGGCCAGTCCGTTTACTGACTTCCTGGTCTAACAGCCCAGAGTTATGAACTCCACTACCAAGGTATGTAGAGCTTTCTGTGACTTCGATGTCCTCGCTGCAAGTAAGTACCGACCAAGCAGGTTCTCCTAGTAATTCCCCAAAGTCCTGGATCTTGGTCTTGGTCCAGGAGACCTCTAGACCCAAGGGCTTCGCTTCATTACTAAATGCATCGAGAGCCACCACTAGGGTTTCCAAAGACTCAGAAAGAATAGCAACATCATCGGCAAAATCAAGGTCTGTAACCTTAATATTGCCCAGTGTTGCTCCACAATGACTTTGAACAGTAGCTCTGCCTAGTATCCAGTCCATGCAAGTATTGAAAAGTGATGGTGCAAAAACACAGCCTTGCCTCACTCCTGAACTGACAGGAAAGAAGCTCAACAGGCCCCCACCACACTTTACAGCACTTTCAGTACCAGTATACAGATTTGCTATTAGTTCAATAATCCTTGTTGGAATTCCTCTCAGTCTCAGGATCTCCCAGAGTGATTCACGATACACTGTATCAAACGCCTTCTTGAGGTCGATGTAGGCTGCAAGCAGCCCACGGCCGAACTCACGACAGCGCTCTACAATGACTCGAAGCGCAAGGATACGGTCTATTGCGGCCTCTGATGCCTCAGTAGATGGTCTCTAATACACCTCAGAAGGATGTGGGCAAGAACCTTGCCTGGTACACTGAGCAGTGTGATGCCGCAGTGATTGCTGCAGTCCCATCGGTCCGCCTTCCCCTTCCAGAGAGGGATGACCACACCCCTTAGCAGGTCAGGGGGAACGGTACTAGACAGCGAGATGGCAGACAGGACAGCATGCAATCCCCGCGCCATAGATTCACCACCAGCCTTTAACAGTTCAGCTGGGATGCCACAAATACCTGCTGCTTTACCACTCTTCAGCTTGGAGATCGCCTTCCTAACTTCAGTTAGGGAGGGTGGGTCCTCGCTAATGGGTGGGTCCGGCAGTGGAATCATGGCACTACCCGCATCCAAGTTAACTGTTGGAAGGTCAACCTGATACAACTGCTCAAAATACTCAGCGCAACATTCCCGTACTGCAACAGGATCTGAGATGATCTGGCCACCTACTAAGCGAACTGCAGTCGCCTGTGAAGAGGGCTTGGAGTTCAGCTTTTTCAGGGCTTGGTTTGTAGGACGAAGGTCATTTACTAAGAAATGGCCTTCGACCTCCTCAGCAAGACTCCTAATAAACTGTTCCTTGTCCCTTCTTAACAGAGACCGAGTTCCGGTAATACTTAGGTTTATATTTATATAATGACTGCAATACGATGGTGGAAATCTAATGACACTCACAGAGAGAGGGAAAACTATATTTCATTATCACATGAAACAATCTATGCAGGTAAAGAATAAAGTCTGAAATAAAAAAAATGGTTAATCCACACAGGAATCGACATAGGAAGTTGAGGAAAAATCCTGATTTGGAAAGATAAAGGATCAGATTGATCTATTTGTGAGTGTGAGTGTGAGTGTGAGTGTGAGTGTGAGTGTGAGTGTGAGTGTGAGTGTGAGTGTGAGTGTGTGTGTGTGTGTGTGTGTGTGTGTGTGTGTGTGTGTGTGTGTGTGTGTGT